CCCCCCGCCACCCGCAAGGACTGGGGCTGGGGGACGGGTCGGAGCACAACTTCAAAAAGAAACTGGGAGCAAAAGGGTATATTACGGTAGGCAATAAGTAAGGAGGAGATTTATTTTTTTAAAAATATGTAACTATAGAATGTGCCCCAGTAGTTTCCTGCAGGTACTGCGGGGAAATGCTGAATGTGAAGAGTTTCGTGATAAAATGCCCCTTTGCCTATTTTGCACAGATTTGCCCCAGAAAAGCTCGTTGTTCAGGGTGGGGTACCAGGTTTCTGGCTGGAATCCACCGGGTCCCTGGGGCTCCGCGGGAAGGAGCAAACATTTCTGAGTCTCTAGGCCGAATGCAGAGGACAATCCCGGGTTTTAGGTTCGATGCTGCCCCGAAGAAAAGGTTTATCCCAATTCCTACTCAGCACAGCTGGCTGGGCTGCATATCTTCTTTAACAAAGCGGCAGCTCAGTCACCACATTACAGTCCCAAGTGTCTCATTTCAGCACTGGTCCGTGCAAAGGAGCGTTGCAATTGCAGACCAGCACTTTTTTTTACTTTTTTTTTCCTGTCCCCCCTCCAACCCCAGTTTTGGAGGTGTGCTGAATACTGAGATACACCGTTGTTTGTAGCTGAGCCCTGACACCCTTTCTGTTCTAAGCGTTGTAGCCCATCCCCGACAATCTCAAGCAATACAGAGCCAAATGCAGCCTTCGGGTTTCATTCCTCTTCCCTCGCCCAGCCCGGGGTCAGGGGCGGCGGCGGCATCCTGGCCACGGTGGCCACGGCTCCGAGCCGAGAGCCACGAGGTGGTGAATACCGAGTTGGGGAGGGAGTGTGTGTATGCATGTGAGAAAGAGAGAGAAAGATTAAATTGATGCATTTCTTGAGAAAGGTGTAAGAATTTCACCTCAAAAGGGGCACATCTGCTTTGTTATTTATAAAAAGAAAGCTAAATTCTGTCTTTTTCTTCTTTTTTTTTTAAAGTAAAAGGACACTGGTAATAATTATTAGGGGCCAATTCTGCCTCCCTTCCTCATGCTGAGGAAGTACTACTTAACTCTGCAATTTTCTACTTGCAGAGTAAGTAAAAGTAGCAGAATTGATCCCTCTGTGATCAAGAATCAAGTTTTTAGTCTGTTTTTTTTTTAATTGGTAGTGTTTTTTTATATTTCACTTAATTTTTTCCCCAGTTCCGTTCCGTTGTGTCCTTATTTATGTAATATACTTTAACCTTAAAAGATGGCATGGATTCTTATGCC